CGCAAGTTGGCTATATTTACATGAAATAGACAAAAAATCGGTGCCTCCTCGAGCGGCGGATTGATTGATCGAAATGAAATTGCAGACGCCAGTCATTGCTGCCAACTGTATGAATAAAAATAAACTCGAGTGGGGAAAAAGGCAGGCAAATTTTTCTCTCAAAAACAACATTGACTTACATTACTCTCACAATTTATTTTCATATTGTCATTATATAAGAAGCTTGTCGTGAATATAACCTATTACAACATCGACATGTTTCAACATAGTTTGAATAGATTTTTTTTTTGTGCAACTTAGAATGGCAAGCAAGCTGACGGCCCATATTATGGAAAGTAGTGAAACACAGTCACCAAATATAGACATGGGAAGTACCAACTAACGTTTACCTATCTTTTAAATATTATTGTTTATGTTTTGATTATGGATTATAGTTACATACCATATTAGTATTAACTGTCCACTATTGAACATAGGCCTGCCTCTATAGAGGGATTTTGCCAGTAGTTGCCACGCTTGGCAGGTGGGTTTTTTTTTTGATGGGTGAAAATGGAATGGTAACACCGCCTGCACTAACGGGATACGCTGGCGGAGCACCAGTGAAGGGTGATAGATGAGAATGAAAACAGGCCAGTTAGCCCATCATGATGAATTCATCGGGAATTAACCATGATAGTTTCCAGGGGGAACCGCGAGGAGGTCGACCTGGTTGGGTATATTGGCAGGTGGGTTGGCAACCGCAGTTATGTTTTGGTGATGTTTCAAGAGGAACGCTGCTAACCATCTCTCGACCATTAAATCCCCTTAGTCGCCTCTTGCGACGCCCTTGAGAATAAGTAGCGGTGGCCCATTCTATGTCAGGACCACACGGCAATATTTACATAATGACACAATTATTACTCAATTTTTATTGTTATTTTTCTTTTTCTAATTTTTGTGTTCGTAAGATATTTTTTTGTAATAAGCTATATTGGACCCTGTGTAAAATATTATATACTTTCTATACTGTGTTATAAAAAGCTGTTTGTTTTCCATAATAAATAAATAAGGGAAAACATAAAATGCTACGTTTTGTACCATTTTATCGATTCTAAGATAATGTCAAGGACTTTAAGAGGCGTCCGTTGATTTAATTAGGAAGGAGCTCTGACAAAGTTTCTGAGAGAAGAAATTAATAAAAATCTCTCCTTAATATTTTATTTTCTTATTTTACTAAAAAAGAATGTAATTTATAAGGGACATCAAAATTGCAATTTTTTTAATGCATGAAATTTATGGTTTGTGCTATTGGTTTACCTAACCCACGCTAGCTAGACACTAGTAACGGATGATAGGCAAGGAACTGAGGTTAAAATCAGGCAAGTCAGGCTATAGTAACGATTAGTGTCGGGGCAAAATCAACCTTAAATGTGAGCAAGATACATTTTGTGCAAGGACCTTGGGTGTAGCATAAAAACGATTTATAAAAATACAGTGTAAAATTCTAAAAAAAAAACAGAAATTCGTGGTTCACCTTATTAAAGCTAATTAATTAAAGCCTTTTACATCGCGAGGATGTGAGCGGTGGCCAATCTCGCTCACGCCTTATGCTGTAAGTGGTAATGAATACACCATGAATTAAAGTTGTAAATGCCGCCTATAAAGACGAACAATACAGCCCCGTTGCTAGCAACATGCCCTATTAGGTCGACCTCCACGTGGTTCCCCCTGGAAACCATCGTAAACAATTCTTGTTGAATTCGTCACGATGGGCTAACTGACCTACTTCATCCTCATTTATCATCCATCACTGGTACCTTGCTAGTGTATACCTAACGCCCACAACAGTAACAGGGAGGAAAGGGATTGTAGAGTCAAACAACCTCATTGCTAATAATATACTCTATCAGGTCGATTTCCACGCGGTTTCTCCTGGAAACCATCACGCCAACTGTCCTGCTTTCATCCTCATCATGTCTCACTGGTACCCCGCCAGTTCATACCAATAGCGCAGGCGGGGTTAACATTCCATTTTTACCCATAAAAAACACAACCCCATTGTTAGAAATATTGCAATAATATATGACAGGGTTGTCAAGTCGCCCTCCTTTTTCCCCCTTTCCCTTGAAAACCACTGTGATTAATTCTTGTTAAATTGATTACGATAAAACAACTCATCTGCTTTCATTTTCACATATCATCTCTCACTGGTGCCCGGCCAGTGTACATCGATATAGCAGGCGGGGTTACCATTCCATTTTCACCCATAAAAAAATACCCACGAATAGTAGGTATTAGTTCGCCATCGACAGGGATTTCATACTCACATGCTAGAACCTAAATGGACGCAAACAATGTGGTTTCAGAGAAACTTTCTCTTACAAACACTCAGGATTTCCTAGAGACAACAGAATGGAGTTCTTTAAAAAGGGTGAAATTAAGGTTTCTTCAGGATTGGTAACGCGCACGTAACACCCCTATTATTACAGGCGTCCATAAGCTACAGTGACCGTTTACCATCAGGCGGGCTGTATGCTTGTTTGCCGCCTGCATTGTATGTATAAAACAAAAGGTATCCTGCAGTATACTGTCATAGTACTCCTCATACGTTGCCATTCTTGAAGAGTAACGCATTATGCCTCTGTATTCTATAATTACCAATATATACATCCATCAGGAAGACCGAGGAATAACTACATGGGACAGTTAAGGAAACACTAGGCATCATGTCGTATAGGGAGATAAAAGATATGGCCTGGGATAGAGCTGGCTGGAGGAAGATGCATGAATTAGTTGCACCGACAAGAGGAAACTCTTAAATGAAAAAAAAGACATCCACAGTTTTCCTCCGGTACATAATACAACAATATCAATTTTCATAGAGATATTTTGTAAAATCATAATTTCTCACTCAATAAACTTCAACATTTATTAGGGTTGGGTTTTATGACGAATTTACGTTCCAATCGTAACCTTTTATGTTCCGAATACACTAACAAATACTGTAATGGAAAGAGAATATTTATTACCAATAAAGAGGGTTTACTCCGTATCGATTTCAGTGTACTTGTCATTGATTTCAGTAAGGAATTAATGTCATTGGATAGCTTATGATTAATTTAAATGACTTTAAAACGAGCTTTGAGTTATTATTTTAGACATATACATACATGTTGTGCTACATATAATGTAACATAGTAATGATATTGATTTAACGTTAAAAATAATAGCATTCACTGGCATTATAGTTGTGTGAAATTTTTGATACAATGCATAAAAACAATGGGACATAGGCGATGCTGTGAAATTTATAGACTTATTTATAGACGTACATAGGTAACAATTTTTATACATACATACATATCTGTCACGCCTGTCTCCCATTAGGGTAGGCAGAAACAATGGAACGCCAAATGCTTCGATTCAAACAAACCTCTTTCGCTTCTTCCACATTCATTAATCTTTTCATACACGCTTGCCGGTTACGGGTACTTTTAATTTGGCCCTTTTGCAGCAAGTCGCCTATTTGGTCAACATACGTCCGTCCTCACATGAATTACTCTTATATATAATTTTCCATCAAATGGGACTCTCGAATTGATTCAGTTCATTGCAAAAATTATTACTTATTCTTAAGTTCATTGGGAATCGCTTGATTGAACACGAGCTTGACGCCACAAAGATGACGAGCATACAGCCCGTCTGACGGTAACACTGTAGCCTATGGACGCCTGCAACACTAGGAATGTCACGTGCGCGGACCGACCCTGAAGAAACTTTAATATACCCTTTTTGAAGAAACCTATACTGTAGTCTCTAGGGGCATTATATTATTTATAGTTACATTGAAACTGCTCCATGATGTTTAAGCCAGTATCCACAATTAGATGTATTTGCCTTCAACATGCTGGAGTTTCGTCGAATGACCACAGAGTGTTTACGTTCAGATATTTAAAATATAAATGTTATTTCTACTATTGTTGCGTGATTGTATAGTATTTTAATTTTATTAATATTATTTCTTTTAAACATTATTATTGTACTGATGCTTTCCTGTGTGAGCGTATTGGGAGACTAAAGCTTACATAGTTGATTAAATAAATAAATAAATATTTCCTTTTTTACAATAGTACATTTTATTAAGAATACCAATATAACGCTAGCAAGCAAGCCTGACCAAACCACATATTAGAAGAATAGATATAACAAAAGAGATGTAAATAGATAAGAAGTTTCGCGTATTCGGTGTACTTATTTAAGACTAATTATAAAACCAATTTCTCTGCCGTAAACCGTCCAAAACCAATATTTGAGCTGAAGAATCCTTATAGTAAAAAAGCTATGGTTAATATTTGGGCCGTCGGGGCCGCGGCAGACTGCTGACGTACCCCTGTTGCCCCGACATTGGTGCGAGTAAGGAACACCCGGGGGTTTTAGCCGGTAGGAGTCCGGCAGTACCCATATATCTCCCCCGAGGTATATGGGTCTGCATGAAGCATTTCTCCTCGTCAAAAAAAATGGTTAATATTTGGGAAATTCATTATTATAAAAAATTTGTAATTTTTGTAATTTTTAATAGAAAACATTTTTCCTAATAAGAAGAGGTCAAGTATCATCGATGATGTTAAAACCTGTCAAATATTGGGTAGACTATTAAGTCTACATAGAAGAGGGAAAAGGGATTGTTAGTAATGGAGACTTAGAATCCCATTGCTAGCAATATACCCAACCAGGTCGACCTTCTCGCGGTTTTCCCTGGAAACTATCATGGTTAATTCCTGATGAATTCATCATGATGGGCTAACTGGCCTGTTTTCATTCTCATCTATCACCCTTCACTGGTGCTCCGCCAGCGTATCCCGTTAGCGCAGGCAGGGTTACCATAACATTTTCACCCATCAAAAAAAAAATTTACATAAAACATTCGTGAGGATTAACATTAATTCTCTGCAATATATTTATGCACACAATTAATGTGTCTGTCGCGTACATTATCTAAAGTAGTTCTTTCATACTTACAGAGGATGCGAAGGCCTCGCCGGCACCGGTGGCTGACGGTCTCCGTGTTCTTCATCGCGTACTCAGTGTTCCAAGCGGTGATGACCTCGTCGACAGCATCCGAACCAGCCAGCGACACGAACCCTGAACCATCAGAGAAGAAAACCACTCCTATAGCAGAAAATGAACCTGAAAAAGGTTTGTGTGTTTGTATTTTCTACGGTAAAAGTAAGTTATGGAATTCAATATTTTAATATTCTGAAATTCTGAAAGAGTGCAAATATGTTCAGATATTTCTAGTTTTTTTTATGCAATTTAGAATAGCATACAAGCTGACTGCCCACCGGATGGAAAGTGGTAATCGTCGCCTATAGACATAAGTAGTACCATGAATATAACAGAGTATACTGTTTCGCCCATGATACTCCCTATGCGTTGTCATTCCTGAGTCCTCATTCAGGTGTTATTCCTTTGTACCTAGTAAATTCACTGCCATATCCCACCATTCAAACCGAAACACAGCCACGCAATTTCATTTAATGGCTATTCATTTCAACATTTATTACACGATTACGCCATCCAGATGGCTAACATCTGGACCGATTTGTTCAAAATTTTATATTAAGATAGATCTTGTCCTATATTAATATATGTTTATAAATTAGCTCCTTATTTAGGCAGTAAAGTCGCAGTTTAAGTATATCTAAAAGTGTAATATATAATAATTATATCTGAATACCGAAGTGCTTTTTTTAACTCATAACTAAATATTGAAATAATTAATATATTTCTTCAGGTGCAGCAAAAGAAGAAAAACCTGCAAATGAGGGGACCGGTGAGAATAAAGAGCCTGCGAAAGAAGAGTCTAAAACTGAAGATAAAGAAGAAGAGAAAACGGAGATTAAGGATAAAGCGGAGAATACGGATAAGACAGAGAATGGAGAATCTTCTTTAGAAGAAGAGGAAGAAGAAGAAGAGGACAAGAAGAAAATGAAAGATGCAGGTTATAAGGAGGTTCGTAAAATATGTCTAAATATCAATCCGTTGTCGAATCGCCTATTTTCAATAACAAGAACTGATGATGTATTAAAATCTGTTATAGGTCAATCAGTTAAAAGTTAGATTCCCAAGTATTTAATTCCGTCAAGATCCTCTTTCGAGCCTAAACCGTGTTATATGATTCCGATTGATTAATTCTGATCAATCAAACACTTTATGATACAAAAGATAATTTGAAAACAGAAAATAAGGAGTCTCTAAAAAAAGTAGGGAGAAACTTGCATGCAAATCCCATAACGAATTAAAAAAGACTGTAGCTATTAATGTTTCCTTCTCCATTGCAGACTGAAGATACGGCCAAGATTCGAGAAAGGGAGAGACAGGAGAACCAGAGACCAGCAGTTCCAACTCTCCACCCACTTAGAGATAATTGCACGCCTCCTGCTATAGAACAGGTACAAATTATCTATATCTTTCTTAATTTCCAATATTGTCTATACCAAATTTCATGACGACTGATTAAAGCATAAAAGTATCATGAGATAAAAAGCAAGAGAATAAATTTTAATGAACTCGTATATAAAATGGGCGTGTAAATGCTCTCTCAAGAATCATAAAAGTCGTCTATATTTACAGCTGCATATTCTGTGCCTATAAGAAATTATATCTATCTAGTTTATCTCCTTCTTCACAGTTTCCAAAACCTTTAATGGGCCAATCAGCTCGCAAGCACGGCGGGCTGATTATCCACATCCTGGTTGCCGTGTTCACTTTCATTGGTCTCGCCATCGTTTGTGATGAGTACTTCGTTTCCAGTCTGGACAGGATCTGCGAAGGTCGGCTTTTTTCACTTATTTTTTTTAGTATTATGATTAATGCATGCTGGCACTTTTTAAAAGAAACGTGAAATAGTATCAAAATTCATAATTTTATTGTGTTATTTATAAATTACTAGCTTTCACCTGCGTCTTCGTTCGCATTATTGAGATAAAAAATAGTTTATATCCTTATCTATTCCATATAGTATGTGTATACTAAATTTTATAGTGATTCGTTAAGGCATTATATGGTAACAAATGAACAAACTCATTTTTACATTTATGAGCGCGGACGCGCACACTCACGCACTCACGCACACGCACACTCACGCGCTCACGCACACGCACACACGCACGCACACAAAAGTAATCCACTTATACCTAAAACGTCAATGTTGACACGGATAAGAACGAAAGAATAAATGAGACGCCGAAAATACTACAATGCATCTTGTTCTTTCTGTTATGTGTGATACCGTAAATACGTTACAATTAGAAATTTAATTATTTGCTACCAATCGAGAGACTCTCTAGTATATATTAATTTCATTTATCCACAGAACTGAAACTGGCACCGGACGTGGCGGGTGCTACATTCATGGCCGCCGGTAGTTCAGCGCCGGAGCTGGCCACTGTTGTCATCGGTGTGTTTTGCGCTCAGGATGATATCGGTAAGTGTTCTAACTCAGTACCAGCTTCAGAGGGCAAAGCAGTCGGGCAGCGCCCAGTGGGTGTGTAGATATCTAGGAGGGACGCCCGAACTCCGAATTGGGCGCCAAGTAAATTTCATGAGATATATTAGGTGTTCAGTCTTATAATATTTTTATTTTATCCTATTCTTATTTCTTTCTGATTTTTCATCTAACCTTGACCTTTATAGGCTTGATCTTGTACTTTATGTTTTTGGCCTTGACATTGACCTTTACGATGTTGAACTTGACCTTTATGACTTCTTATCTATAAATAACTTTGCAGGCGTCTCCGGCGTGATAGGTTCGGCGGTGTTCAACATAATGTTCGTGATATCTGTATGCGCCCTGTGCGCCGGCACCGTCTCGCATCTCAACTGGTGGCCGCTGTGCAGGGACTGCTTCTTCTATGCCGTATCCATACTCGTCATGCTGTGTACTATCGCTAACGGATATGTATCTTGGTAAGCCAACTCATGAGGAGTATCTCTTAAAAATTTGCCGTTTGTTCCCGCCATAGAATGGGCCACTCCTTCCTTTTCCGTGGATGTCGTAAGAGCCGACTCAAGGAACTTAAGATTGAGAGATTGGCAGCAGCGTCCCTCGTAAAATATCATTAAAGTCTACTTGCAGTTGCCAATCCGCCAGCCAAGCGTAGAATGCCTATGTTGGTGGGAAGGGATTGTTAGTAATGGGGTCTAATGAACCCATTGCTAGCAATACACTATCAGGTCGACCTCCACATGGTTCCCCCTGGAAACCATCGTGAACAATTCTTGTTGAATTCGTCACAATGGGCTAACTGACCTGCTTCATCCTCATCTATCATACTTCACTGGTGCCCTGCCGGTGTATACCGATAGCACGGGCGGGGTTAGCATTCCACTATCACCCATTAAAAAAAATGCCTATGTTCAGCAATGGAACTTAACAGCTGATATGATGGCGCTGATGAATTGAGTCAAGGAATAAATAAAATACCCATGCATCTATTCACACAATATAAAAGATATTATATTTATACAATTTGCCAAATGTTAATATAACTTTAAGAATGTGTGTATCGACGGCAGTCGACAAGTGAGCGGAATTTTTCCTGTCTATTGAGAGTGATGAATTATCTTCGCTCAACAGTGACGAATAAGAGATTAAATCTTATTGCTGTCTCTAAACTATAACTATGTTATTGAGAATTCTACAAGACAAAAATATAAACGCAGATACTCTGCTATACAGTATACTCTGTTATATCCATGATACTGCTCATGTCTATAGGCGACGGTTACCACTTTCCATCAGGTGGGCTGTCAGCTTGTTTGCCATTCTAAGTTGTATAAAAAAAATACTTCTGACTTTTTTAACAGTTGTCATTAAATGTGATTAGTATTAATTTTTAAATAAATGATTCATAGCTTTCATTGTAATTTTTTTATACCACAAAGATGGCAAACAAGCACACCGCCCGTCTGATGGTAGACAGTCGCTGTAGCCTATGGATGCTTGCAACACTAGGGATGTCACGTACGTGTTGCCAACCCTGAAGAACCCTTAATATACCCTATTTGAAGAACCCCATACTGTAATCTCTAGGGAAAACTTTTGCAAACCAGAAATAAGCATTCGTGGGACGAAATTTGTCTGAAACCGTACTATACTTGACCGTTTAGGTTTAAGTGTGTGAAGATAAATTCCCTGTCGATGGCGAGCGGTGTGATGATAAAAGGTGGCTGTAGGCATCATTTTAAACAATTCCTTTGAACACACGTTATACAAGCGGTAGAACACACAAAGGGAGGCAAAATCTCGCCTTCGACTTATGGGCTTGATACCGCCTGTAAGTTTGGGATTGTCATCAATGTTTATTACTACCGGTACTAGTTAAAATTTATAATATTTTGCTCATTGGATATGTGTCGATGCTTATTTTGGGCGCTCTCGATATTTAATCCGCCTCTGTCCAAGGTCCTTTTGTGACAACCGAATTCCAAACTTAACCATTATTTTTTTAGAGTTGGAAATCAAAGAATAACATTATAATTTTGCAGGCCCGAAGCTCTCTTCATGCTGATAATGTATGGTGTGTACTGCGTTGCGCTGCGCTTTAACACAGCTCTGGAACAATGGGCGATGAAACTGCCGCTGCCGTTCAAACTGCCCACGAGGGAGGAGCAGGCTGCACTAGTCACTTACAAGTGAGATATTAGAGCTAAAGTGTCTATTGGAGTTAATTATAGTTTAAGCTAAAGTAAAGATATTTAAATACATAGATATATTCAACATATAATCTCTTTTGTTATTTATTTATTTAAGGCAGACAGACAGCTAGAACAATACATAATTATTCACTTAAATAGTAATTCGTCAGTCATTAAAGTTTACACAAATGTAATACAAGTGAAGGAAACACAAAATTAAACAACACTAAATCAAACAATACTATTGAAAACTACAGCAACATTTACAATAATAATGCTCAGATGTTGACAAAGCCATCCATTTTTTTAGAACAAAACATTATTTGCGAATAATACTTGTATAACCATTAAAAAAAAGTAAAATTTGAAAATAAATAAAATCTATATTTATATAATAAAACTTTAAAGGTCGAATGTCTGTGCATAGAAAAAAAAAAACGCTAAACACCAAGTCAGGTGGATGTTAGAAATAGAACACATTCAGATTTTTTTAAATTTTTTGTTTCTCTGTCTGTTAGTACGGGCTAATCTTCGAAACTGTTGGACCGATTTGAATAAATTTTTGCATGGCGAAACTTTACATCCCCAGTCAACATTTTAGATACTTTTAGTCACAAAAAATTAAAGAGTTTCCGTGAGATAGTTAAAAAACTATAGTAACTTAAGTCATTTTGACCTAAGGTAAAGAGTGAGAATGACACGTCATTTGTTAATTTTGGTCCAGTATTTCCAGACATAATACCTAATAATAATCGTAGGTACATACATCGATACATACTAAACAGAAATAACAAATACCACGCAAACAAAGTCACGGGTATTAGCTAGTTATCCATAAGACTGGAGTCTGGACTGGTAACCTGTCACCATTACTTATTATATCCAAAATAATATCATAAAAAGGACCATAAGAACAAAGCTCAATGTGTTATTGTGAAAGAACTTAAAAGAAAACCATAAAATGCCTTATATTTTAACTGTAAGAGTAATTAGATTGACTTACGTGTATTTAAATCGGAATAAAGAATTCTCGACTTGTTTTGGATCCATCTGAGATCCTTAATCATAAGCGTCTGTAATGCGAGCACGAGCCAGCCTGCTATAAACTGGGTTGCCTGTGATCAACGCGGTAGTAGGTAATATTGTCCTCTAATGAAGCAATATCAGTGCCAAGTGTGTAGTAGTTCAGCCCCAATAAGTAGCTTCATTATAACTTCGATGATTTATAATAGCTCTAATATTTATAGCTCTAAAAAATATTTAATTACAAAAAGTTATTATACGCTACAGGAATTATTCAATGAAAAAATTTAATTGTATTTGTACCTATTTGTTTTAATGTAATAATGTTTTATTTATTTTATGTTAATCGACGATACATATATATAATGTAAAAATTTATTTATATACTTTATGAAATATTTATTAATGTGATTGCTGTGCCCTTCCAGGGTTCATGTTGATTCTATACTTTTAATAACTTAAGACCTATATTGTTACAAAATGTAATAGCAATAAATGATTGAATTGAATTGAATCTCTAGGTTTGCTTCGGACAGAGCATTAATGATTACAGTACTTTATCTTAAAATGCTATTATGTAACTAACTTTATGTATTCCATATCAGGAGCGCTGGAGCGCAGCCCCCCGCCAGCGCTCCAGGAGTCGAAGGCCAGTACACACAGATGGAGGGACAGACTAAAGAAACCCCCATGCAAGATACTCGTAAGTATAGTACATCACTCGATCTTATAATATTAAAAACTAATAACAGTTGAACACTTCATTTTAATCGGTAGTTGAAAATATTTATTTATTCATTGTACATTTTATTGCACCATTTATAAAGTTGTAAATACAGTTAATTTTAATGAGAAGTGATACAAAAGGCGGCTATATCGCTGAGCAATCTCTTCTAGACCACCTTTGCATAGAGGACATTGAGAAAAAGACAAAGGATAGGTAGATAGATAGATAGATAGATAATTTATTTGCATTACTTACAGCACACAAATTACAACATATATTGATATATATAAAAAGCGAAATAACATAAATTATTAAAAAAAAATACATATGGCGTTACAATTTTTCGTTTGTGCGTTGTTTTGCCATTACAATACAAAATGGTCACAACTTAGTTTATTGCTTCGCCCTTAAAAGAAGAAAGCACTGATATTCTGTTGCGGCCAAAGGGAATAGGGTAACAATAAAACAATATTACCAGCACACTAATGTAATTGATAATATATGATAATTTCTAGATATTTGAATGAGTATACTTATTGCATTATACAATATAGGAAATAAGCAAGACAATTTACAAACACAACGATACAATTGTATAAGTACAGTAAGGCGGTCTTATTGCTGAGAGCAATCTTTTCAAGACAACCTTAAGGTTAATATAATATATTTAATAATTACAATTGATATAATATTATATCAATATAATAATAATTTGATAATTTCTAGATAATTTATCTTAATCTAGATAATTTCTAGATATTTGTATTCCAGCGTACCGTCCAGATGGTGCATATGACAACGCGGCGTACAACGCAGACCCCACACAGACATGGGACCCCAACGCTATGTGGGACCCCAACAACGCTTGGTCAGAGGTATTAAAAGAAATTTCGCCTTCCTAAACCAAAAATAATTCCAAAAAATGTAGATACAAAGAACTTTAGCAGAAAACGCATTTCACTTGGAAAAGTTCTCTAGCTGCACTCAATAATTTCTTTAAAGTTAGAACATGAAATATAAATCTAGGAATGTCAAACAACCAGAGAACTTATCTGGTGAATAATAACTGTCGCATATAGATATGAACAATTCCATGAACATTACAGAATATACTGTAACTCCTATGATGCCCTATAGATCAATCCTGAGAACTAATGTATTTTGCTTTTGTACCCTCTAATTTCACTGTGGTAACCCTGCAAGCATAGCTGCTTGGCAGAATTAATAGGTAATTTATCTTATTATCTTTTATAAGCAGCAGCCGGCAGCAGCGCCACCGGCAGCCGGGTGGAACGCAGAAGGTTACGCAGCGCCCCAACAACCACCCCAGTCGCAGCCACCAGCGCAGTCTCCCTCGCAAGCGCAGCAGCCGCAGCAACCGCCACAGGTGTGGAAAGAAACTTATTATCATACCGTTCCGATGACTCCATTGAGGATCAACACTGAGATAGACGCAGTCGAGAGAGATAACATCTAATGGAGGATAGAATGACAAAATACTCAAATTAAATGTAACAAATAAAAATTATTACAAGCTAAATTAAATCACACTAGCTTAAATCCTATCTTTGAAATGTTGGAATTAAATCCAAACCTTGTTCGGTAAGAGAACCGCACTATTACAAGACTGTTAGTAGACCTACCAATAGCAATATCAATAATGAAGGAATAAATAGCAGAAAGATTCAACGCAAACACATGACGTACACTTACTGGCGCCTGAGCTAATTAGAAGGCTTTAGTGCTTCACCAAACTTTTCGCATCTTTATTCTTTATCTAACCATCCAAATAGGACAGAGAATCGACTAATATTACAAATGCATTAAAATTACAATAATAGCCTATCATCTTACTACTCTTATCCCAATTATTATATGGGGTCGACGTAATATGTTTTTTTTTATCCATATTACAAAAAGATTTGGCTTACAGTTTTACGACCGGTCGCCTGCCTGACGTCATGCCTCTTTGGGAATACAATAATAGCTAAAAGTAATAATGTAAATAATCTTTAGAAATATGAACACAACGACTTTGTTGCTTTTCCAGCCTGTACAGCCAGCGTACTATAAGGCGAAAGAATACAATCCAGAGACTGCCGTCGACCCACTCGTCAAGCCAATCGGCGCAAGTAAGTATATGTAATATAATATTAAACAATATATAAAAGTTAGCCCTTTTAATTCATCATTTTTCGCTGTAAAAGATAGATAGATACTCTTTATCGTTTCCTCCAAAAGATTACAATAGTAAACTTATTATAAATATAAACAATTACAAAAAATAATCACAATGAGAAAACAATGGGCGATAAAAGATTGTCTTCCCCAGGATCTTGTAAGTGATGAGTATGTAGTGAAGCCAACTACAATATAAAAGTGTAAGAGATAAAAACCGAAATAAGAATTTGTACCAAATATCCTGTACAATCGCATCGCAAACAGTAGACTAATAATATATATATATATATATAATATATATATATATATATATATATATATATATATATATATATATATATATATATATATATATATATATATATATATATATATATATATATATATATATATATATATATATATATAATATACCACAGAGTACGTTTTTCAGCCACCTGTATCCATCGACTCCTTGCACTGTATTTCAGGTCACCATCCGATGTATAGCTGGTTGAACCACACTGGCTTTACCTATATTGCATCGCCACTAAAATTCTTGTTTACAACAATAATGATGATGATTAATTCTTGACTCGCGTCTTATTCCAGACAAACTTCAGCTAGCGTGCTGGTACGTGGCGTTCCCTATCCACTGGTCCTGTCGTCATACGATGCCGGACTGCCGCGGACGCTGGTACCCCATCACCTTCATCATCTCCATGCTCTGGATATCCTTCTACTCATATTTCATGGTCTGGATGATTACAATCATCGGTAAGTTTATAAACTAACAAGAATGGAACATAAACTGAAAGCTTAATTGAAAGAAAGTGGTAACTGTCTCCAACCTGGTTTATATCTGGTGAATTTATCACGATAGGCTATTTGATGTGATTTTATGCTATCGAACCTCTCAAATGATACGCCGCCAGCATAAATCAATGGTGCAGGTAACTTCCATATACTGGTGAAGTAGGGAGAAAATAATAGGTGAGATATGAAAGTGACCAGTTGGTCTAACGTGACGTATTCATCAATAACCACGATGGTTTCCAGAAAGAACCACGTGGAAGTTGTAAGTTGTAAGGTACATGTTTTTATATTATGATCAATTTGCAGGTTACACTCTGGGCATCCCAGATACAGTGATGGGTCTTACGTTCGTGGCAGCCGGCGTCTCCGTCCCCGACGCACTCTCTTCTCTCGCTGTCATCAAAGAGGGGTAAGTACGGCTTCTAAAAAATAAATCTGTTTCAGAGTTTCAGAGATTTGGTGCAAAAAAAAAAAACAATACTGTAGTCTTCACCTAATATACTCTTGTGCCTAGTGTGACGCCTTGTGCCTGAACACTATTACATGCTAACGCATGAAGGTCGAGAAAAGGGATTGTTAGAAATGGGGTCTAACAACTCCATTACTATCAATATACCTTATCAGGTCGACCTCTATGCGATTCCTCCTGGAAATCATTGTGATTAATTCTTGTGGAATTCGTCTATATCTATATCTAACTGACCTGTATTGGGGGGAAAGGGATTGTTAGTAATGGGGTCTAATGAACTCATTGCTAGCAATACACCTCATTAGGTCGACTTTCACGTGGTTCCCCTGGAAACCATAGTGAACAATTATTATTGAATTCGTCACGATGGACTAACTGACCTACTTCATCTTCACCTATCATCTTTTACTGCTGCCCCGCCAGTGTATACCGATAGCGCAGGCGATACCATTCCATTATCACCCATTTAAAAAAACTGACCTGCATTTATCCCCATATGTTATCTTTCACTGGTGCCGCGCCAGCGATAGCGTAGGTTATTATTCTATTCTTATCCATTTAAAAAAAAAACACATGAAGGTTTTTTGTCTAAGGAACAACTGCATTCCCAGAAATTCTAAGCCATATATGTGTTGCTAACGGGATACGTCATACTCATGAAGGTTTTTTTTTATGGATGATAATTTTTTTTTTTTTTTTTTATACGACTTAGAATGGCAAACAAGCTGACGGCCCACCTGATGGAAAGTGGTAACCGTCGCCTATAGACATGAGCAGTAACATGGATATAACAGAGTATACTGTTTCGCCCATGATACCCCCCATGCGTTGCCATTCCTGAGGACTCAGGTGTTATTCCTCTGTACCCAGTAAATTCACGCCAAAATAATGAAATGGTTATCCTGCCCGCGCTATCGGTATACACCGGCGGGGCACCAGTAAGGGATGATTGGTGAGGATGAAGCAGGTCAGTTAGCCTATCGTGACGAATTCAACAAGAATTGTTCAACGATGGTTTCCAGGGGGAACTACGTGGAGATCGAAGTATTAGGGCATATTGCTAGCAATGGGGCTGTCAAACTCCATTGTTAACAATCCCTTTCCCCCCTGTGTATGGGTATTAAAACAGCACTACGTCAATAGAAATGTGAAATACTTGGACAACAGGAATTCAATGAATCTTCAGGGTAAATTAGATCACACATAAAATATAGTACTAATAAAATATTTATGAAAAATAATTATAAATTTTAAAAACAGAATTACCTTCTCCACAGGTATGGTGACATGGCTGTCTCGAATGCTGTGGGGTCCAATGTATTCGATATCTTGGTGTGCCTGGGACTGCCCTGGTTCATCCAGACTGCCATCATTCAGCCCGGCAGCCACGTGAACGTCATCAGCAAAGGTTACCCTTCTATCCCTCTATATATCTCCAAGCCAGTCACATTTGACAAGTGGAAAAGTAATCTATCATAAAATTCCAGACAAATTATCATACTGAAGACTAGGTAGCATGGTCTCCAACGTTAGCCTGTTTCATAACGGAACAAACGTACTAAAAAAAATGTTATTTATCAGTAAATACCTTTTCGTTGGCATAAAATTAAGAAAGAACAAAATATTAGATGTTGGTATTTCGTTCATCTCATGTAAGTGGTAGCGAGAACGTCTGTATCGATGAATTTGTTTGCCGCTTGTCTAAAAGAGCACGTCCCTTATTAGGCGAGTAAGGAAAACTTAATTTATACGACTTAGAATAAAATGTTGATGATCAACCTGATGGAAAATGGTAACCGTCGTTTAAATACGTAAAAGCTTTATGGACACCATAAAATATACTATATCTTGTAATGCTCACATGAACATCTTGTGCTTTGCACTTCATGCTTTGCAAGTTCTAAAAGAAAAAAAGAAAGATAATTTTTTTATTCAAGTACACCTAAACATAAGCATTGTTTGGATAGTCTTTTTGAATTATTTTAAAGGGATAGAATATTATTTGTAGGTAAAGGCTCTACAGACCATATTGATAATGTTTAATAAACACAAAAGCTGAAAATTTCATATTGTATTGTTTCTGAACAGGTTTGATCTACTCCACTCTCTCACTGTTCTCCACCGTGATCTTCCTAGTGGTGGCGACACATGCTAACGGCTGGAAGCTGGACCGCAAGTATGGCGCCGTGCTGATGGTATGGTACTTGCTGTTCATTACCTTAGCCAGTTTGTACGAACTAAACATTTTCGGCGAATTCAACAAGCCTGACTGCATCTCCAGCTATTAAATTATAAACCTTAAAATTATGCCTCTAATGTTCAATTTATTAAGTTCTAGACAACAGCTGCGTTTCGTTTCAGTGTTTAAAAATAGAATCGAAATTAGCAGCGACTTAAACAATATTTTTATATTTCAAAAACTTATTTATTATAGAATTAGAGCTTTAGATATTAAGCTCGTATAAAGCCTAATCAGCCATTCGCATATTGCTTAAAAGTTGTATGAATTTTCCGTGTTCGAGCATGCTCTGTACGTTTGAATTTCAAAATTAATAACGAAAAAACAAAGACAGCAATTCGTTAAACGTATTTTTAGTGGCAAAACTCAAATTGGTGCATTACCTTTTATAAAAAAAAAAGCTTTAAGTACTTATTGAGATTATTTTATGTAAGGTTATCGTTTAATAATTAAAATGCTTTCGGAACGCTAGGTAGAAAATGTTTAATTCATTTTGAACACGGAACAAAAAACTACATCGATAGTGTTTCTAGAATATGTAGGTACAGATCAAATTTTAATAAAGCCTTAGGACAACGCCATTTTGCTCCACAGCATAATGCAATGTAAGCAATCAAAATGGCGTCCTCTTTTTATGAAATAGGCGTTATTTATCTATATAGCCGTATGACACTTTGCCGCGGTTTTTTGTTCTGTGTTGACTTAGCGGCTGTAAGTAGGTCTAGAACTAATATTTCTGTTCCTAACTTACTTTTCGTCCATTAATTGAAATTTATTTATGCTATTAAAATAAGTATTACTAGACTTAATGTTTTCTAACGCCATGTCTTATGATCAATAAAAAACATCGATGTTAGCAATCAATATCATAATATTTTATAATGTGTAGAGGTACATTGTTCTATGTTCTTGCTATCCCCTCAATAAAAAATGAAAGCGCTATATGGCATTGTAATATATTAATTATAAATGATAGTATCATAGACAATTTATTAATAAATGCACACTTTGACTATGGAAATTGACTATGGAAAATTTAATGTACTTATATAAAGGTAAATTATATTGATCGGTACTGTGCTCATGTAATGTAACGTTATCATATATTACAAGAACCTGTTCCTGCATTATTATGTTACATTCTATACTATATCCGAATTGCAAATTTTCATTACGCGAATCTTTTTCCAAATATTTAATACTTATTAAGCAATATTTTTCGCAGAGTGTATGGCTTTATTCCAATTATTTAATTTTGCGGTAAAAACGATTTTGTTATACGGATATACCCTAAGACGTTTCAAATGACACTCGTGTAGGTACACATCGTGCCTACATTTGTACACACGAATGTCCTTGGTGGATATATACCCTAATGTCAATCTATGGATATAATTGCTGGCAAATAACTTGAATAAGATTCTATTATATTACTATATTAATATTAATGGTTACTAGATTAAAATTATTTTGTTTAATTTCTCTAAAATTAGCTAGTATGTGTGAGATCACACACATTTGTTGCGGAGGACTAAGTAGGACGAATAAAGATATTTGTTAGTGTTCTAGCTGTATTTTGCTTTATTTTAATATTTTAAATTTTATGAAAATAAAACACTTGTTGACAGCTAGAAAAAAAATGAGTTTTAATTTTTTATTAAATTCAAATTATTATAAATACCAAAATGTTTTCATGTGTTAACAATATTAGATTAATAGTAGCGAAATTAAACAAAATAATACTAAATCCAGTAACAAATGAACTTCAACAGAATGTTTAAATAAAACATTATTATAATTTTACGTATAAAGAGCGTTTGAGTACTGCGCAAGCTTAAGGTTTAGCTTAAGTTGTTTTACACGTGATCATTATGCAAGACAAAACAAATTGCATATAGCAGCCCACTCAGCTGTAGTATGCAATTTCTCTTATCACTCAGACAAATGTTTAAGAGAAATAAAAAAAGTATAGTACCTATGTAAACAGACCTAAACGGCTGATAAAAATTGAGTTACCATTGTTTAAACAGGCTAAGAAGCCTAACTATATGAAGAACAATGAAATAGGCATTCGGATTGGATGACTTAAATATATAGTATTGACTGAAATATGTGGGTGAATCAAGGCTTTGTATTAACATATACCTGTATGTGGATAGAATTACTGGCCATTAATTTAAACATTGCTTTGACTTACGCATTAACTTTTTATTTTTTTTAAACACAAACTTGTCTTCTATGCTCTATTGACTATGGTTTTCTTCAAGTTTTTTGCCACAAACTGTATGGTGTAACCATATATTGCATCATAGGAATTCTCGAGCAAAGTACTTCACTATCATTGTTAGGTTTCTTCAATATAAAAAGGAAGGACACGTGTACAATACGTATTGCATCGAATCAAGTATATACCCCGCAATCCTTTTGCTAATTCGGTCTAAATATATTTATAGATAATTACTGAAAAGACAAATAAGTTTAAATATATAACTTGAAATTATTAGCATTCTTTTAAGAAATATTTTATGAACGAAATTAAACACTTTTTTTCAAACATGTATCTAAAAACGAAAAAAAAAATTAAACTCGCATCGCACATGTCAACTGGATAGACGAATATTTTTTTAGGCAAAAGTAATAGACAAATAAAATCTTTAATCAAATGCGATGATATATTTTCATAGGTCCCTATGTACCTATTGTCTAACTGAGTTTTTAACTATACAACCATATGAAAATGATACATTATATGTTTATATAGTATAATATATAATTTGCTTACAATTTGGCAACTGCATTTTTTTCATATAAATGGCAACATTAATATTTCATAGTAACAAATACATTAATACGAGTTGCGCACAAAAATTTAAAACAAGTTTATTGTTACACTCAAATATCTACTGTATTCCACTAACAATACCGAGTGCTCTGTGCTTATTATATGATTGTCTAAATATCTTATGAATTTACATAGTTTTAGCTGAAGAACATATACCTAGGTATTTAACTGGACGTAGCTTTTATTATGTGTAGATTTTATTCGTGATAATATGCTAGTCATAGTTAAATTAGTTATATATTTAATTAAATAAAGATATCTTTAATCGCTTATAATGTTTAGTGATAGTTAGATGGTAATATGATTACTTTATATAATACAGCCATATTTTAACATTAATTTTATTAAAAGCAGAACATCGATATACATACGAATTAATCAAATAGATAGAATCTGCATTTCTAGCAATGAATTATTTATTTAGTGTTAGTTTTATAATTGCCCGGTAAACGATCAAATTTTACACGATTGTCGAATGTTTGATCGCCTACGATTGTACTGGACACCTATTCTGTTTGACAGGCAAAATTTATCGCACTACACATTTGATATGTTTGCCAAATATGTTTGAAGGTGTTTGTCGAATAATTTGATCATCCACAACTGTGTCAAACATCTGTTTCTGTTTGACAAACCCACGAAGGTTTATTAAGCTAATTTAATAATTTGTTAGACATATTTGAAGATGTTTGTCGAATAATTTGATCGTTTGTGACATAACTATCTATTTGTCAAACATGTTAAAAAGTGTACAAGTGTTTGTCCAATAATTTGATCATCTGTGACTGTATGAAACATTTTTTTTTTATAGAATCACAGATGATTCAAATAAATCTTCAGTCTCTTGTTGTCAACATTTGTTAAAGTTCCAATTCTTTATTAAGTGTATATGGTTGAGATTTGAATTTGAAAAACAGGTTTGATCGTTTACCGGACCTTAATAATTTATAATATATGTAATAATTTATATAAAGAACGTTCCAATCTACACATTTGAATGAACCAACTGCAACAAATCCTCCAGATCTTCCAGCTAACTACCTTTAAACTTTCAACTTTGAAGATCTATCTGAACTTCAGTTTACGTTTTCCAACCCCAATGAAAATACCTCTGTGTTTTATTTACTAGTTACCTACTATTATATCCCATTCCAATTCTGTGATCTGTTTAGCTGTTTAGGTATTATAAATGTCACTTATATTTTTCTGAAAAAAAAAAATAGATTTAAGAATCTCAGTATGACTGAGTGTGGAAGGCAAAATTAAAATACATTGATAGTACACTGCTAGGTGTTATTAAAAAAAAAAAAAGTAAATAATGATAATCAATATAAAATAAAAGAAGTCAGCCATTGATTTTGATGTCAACTAAACCCTCAATCCGGCCCAACCAAATAAAAACGTGACATCTCTCAAAATCTGATCACTAAGTATTAATGTGGTGTAATGGAACGGGTAAAATTATAGGCAAAATGAAATTCAGTGTCATAAATTGTCTCCAAGGAGTCAAAATATGTTTTTTTTTTTTTTATTTTTACCACAGATATGGATTTATATGTTTGGACGTATGTCTGACGTGACTGTGTGCACATTTTATGTCAGTTTTCACCACTAAACTAGGATCAATAACACCTAATCGACTCCGACTGAATTTCAATTCAAAATCCGTTTATAAAACTGTTATTAAAAAAAAATTAAAAAATATCAATATCTCTTATGTTACACGCTGTATACCTGTATACCTAAATTACTTCATAAATTTAAAATAAACTGAGAAGCTTGTATGGGCAATTGTATGAATGTGGATAAAACCAGGGAGACATAAGAGGGTCAGAAACATTTTGCCGACTGTAATCTCTGCCTACCTCTAAAGAAATAGGTGTGAGCTTATAATAATAATGAATAACTAGTTTAGCAGTAAACGAGGAAATAACAATACACAGCATTGAGTGATATGACGCGTGGAAGAGTGGTATATAAATACCTAACGGTGGTAATGCACCCATATGTGTACAGGTGGAAAAAATATTAGGACTAAATATTGAATTTAGCTAATTTTAATCAGAGGAAATATTATTTTGTTTTTTAGAAATAAAAAAAAACTGCACTCAGATATTTTTAAAAGCCCACCTGAACCAGTAATAAAACGCTGACTTACGAATATTTTTATTCTAGCAATCGATAGAGTCAATAATGAAGATTTTCTTCAAATAAACATATTGTATTAATAATAATATAATATAAATATAATTTTTTTTTTTTTAGTACGTTTGTTCCGTTTGGAACAGGCTAAGGTCGGAGACCATGCTGCCTAGTCTTCAAAAAGATAAATTGTCTGGAATTTTATTTTTCTAATGTCGCTTCAATTATTGTCATAATCTTCAATATTTCATTTGTCAAATCCGGTAAGTACATTTTCATAAATATCTTTTCTTGAGTTTTCTTAAACCAGTGGATTTATCAAATTAAAAATAAATAATTATAAAAAATCATTGTCTTGCAATTCAATAAAAGTATTCTTATAGCTCCTTGAATGTTGTAGTAATATAAGTGAAAATAGCTTTGAAACAAGAAGGAAATCTTAAGAGAAGCGGGATTGAGTGCGGGATATTTTCGGGTTTTTTGAAGATAATCCTAAGTTCGTCAAACATAATGTGTCTTTGAATGACAAATTCAGAGCAATCAAAAAAAAGGTGATGTAGAGATTGGGCTGTAAAGTTACACCATGTGCATGATGGGGAAGCGATCATGCCCATTCGGTGCAGGTGTTCGTTGAAATGTCCGTGGCCGATTCGTAATCTACAAATATTGGTGTAAAATTTTCTGTTTGTATCCTTTCCTTTGCAGAACCACGGTTTTCCAATACGCCAATTAATTTTGCGGTACCATTTGCCTTTAGTCTGTAATATTTGAGTCCAATGCTCCTCCCATTTAGTTGTAACGATTTTATGTATTCCAATACTACAATCTGAGTAACAAAGGGGTAAATCTTGAACACGAGCAGCACTTGAATTAATAATTTTAGCCAAAGTGTCTACTTGTTCATTCCCAAACACTCCAATATGTGAAGGGGTCCAGATGAAGATAATATCTTTTCCATATATATTACAGAGATGATAATATTTATTACGAATTTCTTGAATTAAGTAGTTTGATGATGAAATGAATGTGTTATTTTTTAATGCCATAAGAACACTCATACTATCTGTAATTATAATCCATTTCGAATATAGTACCTGTTTTTCTATGTATTCTAATGCTAAAAATATAGCTTTTGCTTCTGCTGTGTAAATACTAGCCAAAGTTGAAATTTTATAACCGTGACCAAATCTATTTGACAAATCGTAAAAAGCCACTGAAGTGCTAAGTGCATTTTTGGAACCATCTGTATATATCTGCCTGTAGTCAATAAATTCTGATAAAGTCTCATACATATCGTGCTTTTCTTTTATGTCTTTACGTATAACAATTTTGATCTTACAGAACTTACTCTCATAAAGGCCATTATAACAAGGAAGTATCTTACTACTATAGATGTTATATTCATCTCGTAAATTCAAATCATTGACAATAGTTTTATTCAAAAACATAGAAATGGGGCAATTTAATAATTTGAGTATGAGTGGGTTATTGGAAACTGAAAAAACTTTGAAGAGAAATTTGAGTTTTAGGTATTCGAAACGAAGAAGGATAGGAGGCAAATTACATTCTACTTGCATTGAGATAATTGGAGAAGTATACATAGCACCTAAAATAAGTCTTAAATTCATATTTTGAATTTTTTCGAGTTTTTCTACTAATTTATGTTCTGAGGCATAACAAAAGAAAGCGTAATCAAAATTACTTCTAACAAGAGATTTGTAAAGTAAAAGGATAATTTTAGGATCAGCTCCCCAGTTACGACCAATTACAGATCTTATTATATTAGTGGCTCTTAAAGCACGATCTACTAAGCAATCAACGTATAGATCCCATTTTAAATTTTGATGAAAAATTACCCCCAGAAATTTAACGCTACAGTCTGTTGGAAGAGTTTGATTATTATATATAATATTTATTAATGGAACATATTTATGAACTTGATGAAAAACAACTACTATACTTTTGGTTAAACTAATATCGAGGGAAAGAAGAGAAAAATATTTCTCAAGTCTTTTTAATGACTCATTTAACACTAATTGCATATCAATAATATTCTTTCCTTTTATATAAATTAATAAATCATCGGCAAATTGCAAGTTGTTCACACTGTTTCCTAAAATTGAATTAAGTTTATAGATATATAAAATATATAGTAGCGGGCTTAGAATACCACCTTGACATACTCCTTTAGAGCTTAACCTAGGTCCTATTAATTTACTATTTACTTTAACATACACTTCTCTATTACTAAGAAAATTATAAATCCATTCGATAAGTTTCATTGGAAGAAATGAGGATAGAATCGAAGATAGAACTGTTAAATTTACATTGTTAAAAGCTCCTACGACATCTAAAAAAACAGATAGAACATATTCATCGTTATTCAAAGCAGTACTAAGGTCGACATAGAAGTTCGCTAAACTTTCGCGCGCTGAATATCCACGGCGAAAACCAAATTGATTCGATGGTAATATACTATTACTTTCAATAAAGAACTCTAAACGCTGTTTAATTAATTGTTCGAATAATTTGCCTGCACAGGACGTCAATGTTATAGGTCTATAGGAGTCGAAATTTGTAGGATCTTTACCGGGTTTAATTACTGGAATCAAACAATCCATTTTCCATTCTGGTGGGATAATACAGTCCTTCCATAAATCGTTAAAAATTTGTAAGAGTTTAGTAAGGTTTATTTTATTCAGCAATCGAAACATATTGTATGTTAAGCGATCAAGGCCACTAGCTGTATCTTTTCTAGATTTTACTGCACTGGATATTTCATCAATTGAGAATGGGTCAGTGAGAAATTTTGGGCATGAATTAACAGAATTAAACTGTTTGTCATCAAAAGGTGAGTGTACAAAATCAGGAGTATATTTGCGTAAAAAATCATTGACCCATGATATATCTTTAAAATGATTTTGACGATGTTTTGAATTTAGTTTTCTCATATTTTGCCAAACAGTGGAAATTGGTGTTAATCTATTAAATTTGGAACAAAATTCCTGCCACCCCTGTTGTCTTACTTGCTTAATTACTAACTTTTTAACAGCTTGAACTCTTTTAAAATTTATGTAATTATCGAGAGTTGGATTTTGTTTAAACCTAAGGTAAGCCGCTTTACTATCATTGACAGCTGTCGCACACCTGTTATTCCACCAAGGTACTGCAATATGTTTGTGCCTCTTTGAAGTATTTATAAATATAATAATAACTGGGGTATATTATTTTTAATTTTGTTCATAGAACACAAAGACCGAATATTTTTTTAGCTTCTAAAAATCTTTGTGCTAAAAAGAAAGTTATTTGCTTTGAATAAAATTTGTTATCCTCAATATTTATTACACTTTGTCTCCCCGATTCGCTCGTTTTCTCCACTCTGTATATACTAATATAGTATGAGTAATTATAAAGTCGTATATATAATTTTAATTTTTACAGATATGTCTAAAGTTACGGTCAATTAAAAAAAAAATACCTAAATGTTTATGGTCTTTACGTTATACCCTGTACTGGCATAAATGTAAGGTTTTTGTTTTTAACTAAAATGTATGTATATACCTATATACACACACATATATAAATTTATGTGTATTAAAAATGGAAAATAATAAATTATTTAAATATGAAAAATATTTTATGAGAAAGTCTGAAGATACATGTTATCGAATTACCTAATAATTATAATTTATAGCCATTATAGAGTCAATTAAAATAACGTGGTATGTTTTAAACATACAATGCTAAAGACTAACCGTGTTAATACTTTTTTCAACTTAAAAGACAATAATCCCTCTTTATGTGAATATTTATAAACGTATTTCATTCGATTTGGTCCCGATTTGCCAAATTACAAAGAAATTCAGAAAACAGTAATCACACAAAATATTTTACTATTAATATTTTAAATAATTATTAATAAACCGTGTTGTTTTACTGGTGCCTCTCTGGCAAGTTTTTATTGAGTTATTGATGTTATAATGTAGTACTTTTTTGATAAATTAAAAGTGTATGTTAATAATTAGTTGAAATATATTTTATAAAATTGTATCATTAATACACAATAATAATTACAGAGGCATAATTATTTTTTAATTATTTATTCTATGCCTGCCTATATCGTGTTGTTTATGTAAGTACATTATACATAAAGTGTACATAATTGCAACAATGAAAATGCATAACAGCTACTCGTAATAATACGCAAACGTAATGACAAAATATTGTCTTTACAAATAATTGGCTGATATTAAAAAAAAAAAACAAAACAGTGATTTTCGTAATGAAGAATACGTATCAATTATTAATGTCAATTTGATGTTTAATTCAATTAAGTAGACGGGCAAGGATTTTACATATTTGCCCTTCTAAGAAGAAAAGGCCAGTCACAATTTTTTTTTTTAATTAATTCCCGGTTACAGGATAACCTTGTGATTTTTCTATCTGGTACTCTTTGCATTATCTGAATGATTATTATAAAGAGGATAGTTTTTTTTTTTTTTTTTTTTAATTTGTAATATGGGATTTAGTTTTACATCTCTATTCTTTTTGAAAATAAAATATATTTAAAAAAATTAGAGATTTCTATCTAACTCCTCATGCGAATCTGAAGCGGGTCGCTAATCTATACTAATTTTGTAAAGAGGAAAGTTTTGTTTGTTTTTAATGGAAAAACACAAAATAAAACTGATTTTAAAAATTCTTTCATCTACTAATATAAGCTATATATTATTTTTGAAAATTCTATCTACCCGTGCTAAGCCGGGCTATATCACAAGTTTGATATCGTATTTGATCAAGCTAAGGATCTTTTTTTTATTGGATGAAAATGGAGTGGTAACCCCGCCTGCGCTAATGGGATATGCTGGCGGGGCACCAGTGAAGGGCGATCGATGAGGATGAAAACAGGCCTGTTAGCCCATCATGATGAATTCATCAGGAATTAATCATGATAGTTTCCAGGGGGTCCCGCGAGGAGGTCGACCTGGTTGGATATAATTTTGTTGGCAATGGGATTCTTAGTCTCCATTACTAACAATCCCTTTTCCCCCCTCAAGCTAAGGATCAAGCATCATGTTTTATTCTACTCTTTAACAATGAAATCAAATCGCATAGTTTTTCACTTTATCACAAAATTATCCTACAGGTGAGCATTTTCTTCTTAAAGGGCAATACTGTATGTACTTAAGTCAAAAAATATAATTATATGTAAAATATGTGGATATAAAATATTTGAAAATTATACTTAAATGACAGAAATTAAGTTCACTGTAAATACGTCTTAACCTTTACAATGTCACCTTTTGTGTATTAATTAATGTTTGTAAAAAAAAACGATTGACGAAAAAAAGATGAAACACATCCTTAATTTGAAGAATGAGTAGTAAGAACGTATTTATTAAAGACAGGATAAAAGCGCGGTAAAACTACATCTGTGAAATTACCGT